GTGGTCCTGCACCCCCTCGTCAACAAGTTGGTTAAGTAAATAATACCCTCACGGGAAAATCGATATCTCTCTATTAGCTCACTGTCGCGCTGAGCTAAAGGATCCTGTCTATCCCGCAATATACGCTGAATTCTGAGGACTCTCCTTATCAATCTTGCACCTTCCGCAATGGGTGGCTCGCGTATACGGACAGGACATGGCTGCGACAGGCTTCCCAAATCCACCTTGGCTTTTATAGCCGTGGTCTCTCATCTTGATTACACGAAGTAATTTGCAATTACTACTCTGAAATATGAATTACATCTGTAATAATCACATACATGTGATAGAATGTTAATAGTACATTTCCCTTTTTTAGGAAATGACCTGTATGTATCTGTGTGACATCAATAAAAGGATCAAGTGCTGCATTGTCTTTAGTTACATTGATGTTATTTATTTATGGTGAAACAGTGGTGGAATATCGCTGTTGCTTTCGTATAAATGAAGCGGACATATCTGCGTGGCCGCGATCTAATCCTGTTTACATAAAGTAAACCTGCTCCCGAGCAGGTTTACGCTTACGGCTCTGTTGCTATGGCAGCAAGTCCCGGATGAGCTTCGGGGAACCGAACGATCCAAGATCACGCGAAATCGTCTACAATCAAATCCAGCTAACTTACTTAGCGAGGTACGAAGAACGGGCCCCTGGACTCTTCTACTGTGAAACTGCTGTTGTGATGGCAGCAGCATGTGGTTTAGCATTTGCTGAAATCTGCTAGGACTTCCCTGAAAAAGACGTTGGTCCCTCTACTCCATGTTTTCCCAAACAAATTTGAAATCTTCTGACCACAGAACTGTTTTCCACTTTGCTTTAGACCATTTAAATGAGCCTTGGCTCAGAGAAGACGGTGTTCATATAAGTCTTCTTCTTCTTTGCATGACAGAGCTACAATCTTTATTCATGAATATCATGGTGAACTGTGGTCAGACAGTGATTTGTGCATGTGTTCCTGAGCCCATGCAGTGATTTCCATCACAGAATCATGTTTTTAATGCAGTGCTGCCTGAGGGCCCAAAGATCAAAAGCATCCAGTGTTGATTTTCAGCCTTGTCTCTTGCGCACAGAGATTTCTCCAGATTCTCCGAATCTTTTGATGATGATACTTAGACGATAAGATATTCCAAGTCTTCACTATTTTACACTGAGTAACATTATTCTAAAATTCTCTCATAATTTAAAGACAGATTTTAGTAGGTTGGTAGGTTTTCAGTGACTTCAGCCTTAAGGTCAAGGTCAGAGGGAGGAAAATCATGTGAGTGCGATAACTTGAGAACAAGGCGACGTAGGATTTTAACATTCATACCATAGGTGCGTCTGCCAAGAGGCTGAGGGGTAGCACTGGCTGCTGCCAGTCTTTTCATTTCGGAGAAACACCAGTCTCTTAGATGTTCTTTTTATACCCAGTCACGTTGCTATTCAACAGGTTTTCATCCCAATGTGTCACATACCAACGACTGTGACAAATCGTTACTATGTTACGCGTTCGGATGCGTGAGAGCAGGTTGGAATGAACCTACACGTGTGGAGGCATGACAGCGGGCTGACATGAATCTATAAATGTGTTAAGGTTAGGAATAGAAAGCTGCTAAGTCATTGCTTCGAAATGACCTCAAATTTACTTAACATGCTAAATTTTCTCAGTTTCAACATTTGCTATGTTTTCCACGTTGTGTTGTGAATAAAATATGGGTTTATTAGATTTGCAAATCATTGCTTTCTGATTTTATTTCAATTTTACACAGCGTCCCAACCTTTTTGATATTGCAGTTGTAAAATGTCTGAACTTACAGTGTCCGTACAACCCTTGACCGAATCAGGTAACTGCCCAGTTCATCATGTACAGGAAGAACATTTCTGCCAAAAGCAGTGTGCTACGCCATATCCCAGAGGTGGAACCTCTTCTGAGTGAGGAAGAGGAGCTGACAGTGTTGTAGGACACAGATCAAACACCAGCAGCGATTGGACTATCAGTCTTTGTTTGGAGCTCTCAGGGGTTGCTGAACATGAGTCTCATTTTCTTTGCACACAAGAGGACAATCTCCTGTTCAGTGTGTTAATAAAGAAAGAAAGAGGAGGTAACAGTTTCCTTAACACTGGAGATTAACGACCAGTTTAGAAGCTCTTCCATAGTTTCTCTTTAGTCTGGCTTGCCTGCATGACTTGGGTCATTTTTGCACTTGGACCTCTTGATTTTGTTTATGGATGGAAAAACTATATTTAAAAGCAATCAGTGAGCTTCCATGTTTAAAATAGGGCTCTTAAAACCAATTAGTCATTTCTAAAATGAAACCTTTGCCAGTATCTGCGGAACCTGATGTATTAATATATTTTTTAAGATAGTAGGTATCAGCACCAAAAGCCCACGAAAGCAAATTTTCCAAATACTCCCCTAGTAAGCACAGAAGTGTGGAATTACATTGGTCTTATCTCACTTTGTGGCCCTGTAGCTAACCCTTTACAGCCATACGAGACAACGCTGGGATAAAAAGAACCAACTCTGATGTTTTAATGTGAATCTGATAGTGTTATATAATGTGAAAAGGATTTTTCGTGTTTAATGTTTAAGGACTAGTGGATTTCTTTGCTTTGCGTTCTCTTTGTTGTCCACCAGGAGAAACAGTGTGTACCCTTTAAAACTGTTAATAGTCTTAATATAAATGCATTGCATAAACACATCACTGTTTTTAAGCTAATGTGAATCAGATTGTTAAAGTAGATAATAACTTAAGAAACTGTATTTCTTAAAAACAGCAGTTGAACTGTTTGTCCTTCCAAGTCCCTGATTATGACCTCCCTGCAGATGTCCTCTCTTAAGTTTGCGTGTGCTGGCATTGTCTTTTTAAAAACGTTATAACGTTTATTAAAAAAGAAAGAAGACGCGTTCAATGACGTTATCTAAAAATAGGAGCATTATAAAATTAGTCTACGTGTCTAATCTGTCATCGGGTTTGTGGGAGAGAGTATGCTCTTGTCAAGCCAAATTTATTTGCATTATTTCGTAGCGTGTCCTTATTAGCTTCTTTACAGTTGTTCCCAGAACTAATGCTAATTGAATAGATGACAACAGAGGAGAGAAAGGGGAAAAAAATGATGTACTAATAGATGAGTGGTTTCATCTTATGATTATATTTTTTTGTAAGTATTGATTTAGACTAATGCTAATAATAATAATAAGTCTTAATAATATTAGTTAATTCATAGTAAATTAGTTACTAGTGAATTATATTCTTTCTTCTGACAGATGGTTTTCTCATACAACATGTATGTGGCATAGTCACTTTTAACCTGATCATCTGTTTAACTTCAGTTCTGCAGATTTCTCTACCTCAGGCAAGTGTGGGCGTCTTTTTGTGTTAAAAAAACAAACAAACCATTAGTCATTAGTCCCAGTACTAGCCCGAGAAAATTCATTTGCAAATATGCAATAATAACTTCTTCACTAATAATTCAGTACTTCTAGTGATTTATTGTATTTTCAAAATGTTCCTGTTTCTCTGATTGTTTTTGTATTGAATATATTATTAGGACCTTTTGCTGTTACAGACTGTGGAGCATATATATAATTTGTTGAGATGGGTTTATTTTATTTCCTTTTTTAATCTTCCATTGTGTTGCCTTTTAATAAATGTGTATTATGCCAAGTTTAAATAACTCCATTGTATCTTTCTAAAATATATTATGTAGAAATCAAGGATTTGGTCTCAAATTTCACATCAAAGTTTGAAGGTTCTGTCTTTGAGTCACAGAAATGTACAAGTTTACAATGTCTTCTCAATCATGTCCGTAGTTTGCTGAACGAAACTGTGCACCTCCACAGTGGATTTTAAATCCAAAACTCGAGATGCGATTGAAATACAGGCTTTCAGCTCTACTTCAAGGGGTTTTTATCAAAATGTTGCATTAACTGTTTACGAATTACAGCCAGTTTTATGCACAGTCCTTCATTTTCACTGACTCAAGCAGACTTTGCTAGAAAACATCCAAAATAGCCTGAAGTAGCAGTTCTGGGAGAAAAAGACTAAAAAAATATTTGGACAGAATAACAACATAAATTTATACCAGAATTATGGAAAGAGGCGAGTATGGAGGAAAAATTGGCTCATAGTGGAGGCAGTTTTATGGCATAGCTTTGTATAGCTGCCATTGGAAGCTGGGCACTAGTGTCTAAGGGTGACGTAAAGTAGCAGGCTGAATTGTGAAGTGTACAGGCTATACTCATACAAAATGCCACAGAGTCGATCAGACAGCTACAGTAACCATGAGCGCTCAAACTCCATGCGCGACTGCGAATGCTGCAAAAGCACATATAACACAAACAGAAGGACATGCAGCAAAAGGTCATAACAGACCCCTGGAAGCGACAAGCCAACAGTCTAATACCAAACATGTACAGTATTGTATGGCTCAATTAAAACGCATTACTCTTCCAGCTTGCCTCAGCTGTTATAGCAGAAACACTTCCGTTGTATTTTATTGAACTTCCGTTGTGTTCTGTATTTCTGCAGTATTCCCATATTAAATGTTGGTGTTTTTGTAAGTTGGGCCTCTCAAGACCACCGCATACGGTGCAAATAATACTGACGCAAAGCATCCAAGAGTTTCTCAATGCAGCGAAATTGGATATTTTTCAATGGCCGAGCCAATCACCTGATCCCAACCCAACAGAGCAGGCTTCTCAATTATTAAATACAAAACTGAAGGCAGAGAGACCCAGAAACGAGCAGCAACTGTGAAGGTCTGGCAGAGCAACTCCAGGAAAGAAACAGCATTTGGTGATGTTCTGTTTTATAGACTCACAGTTCACTTTAAGCCTCATTAAACGCTACATTTTTTGGGGGGGGGTCCTATCTTTCCTCCTTCACATTCCTCGTTGCTTTTTTGAGTGAGCTCTCTGGCGACCAATATAATAAAAGCAGCACTTACGGGGCGGGAGCAGGGAACTTTACCATTATTTCGGAGGAGGGACTTCCTATAGCGCTGCAGTTGGATGGCAGGGAGCCGCTCGGCTGACACGTAACTGAAGTTAAAGGTGCTATGAAGGCCTCGTCGTGGACCCAACTTTTAACTTCTCTGTAAGCTTGCCCGAGTCACGTCAGAAACTCTGCAAGAGAGGAAGAGAGACCCACGCAGGACTCGCCCGTCTTATTTATTTTGTTGCTTTTAGAGCTAAAAAGAAGGCAGAGCCAGAGTTTGGCTGTAAGTCAGGCGAAAATCTGAGCGGCTACTTTGAAGTTGCAGAGGGGGGAGAGGGTCGAGATTTGGATGCAGCTCTGCTAAAAAAGATAATAATGTGCCCGAAAGCGAGTATTAGCACGTAGCTTGTGTTTTCTGCGTGGAAATGCTCTGGGTGTGAGGGGAGGGGGAGGTTTCCTCAGTTTCCTCAGTTCTCACCGGGAGGGGGGAAAAGTTGAGTCGGAACTTTCCAGCGGCAGAGACGGGGCTTTCGCGCATAGAAGGCGGGGAGGGGTGCGGGTCCAACATGGGAAACGGGGTGTGCTCCCGGAGGCAGCGGAGGATCTTCCAATGTCTCCTTCTGGTCACCGTGGTCTGCGGGGTGATGTACGGGGGCATGATGTCGTACGAGATGCACAAACAGCTCAAGAGGACGGAGGCGATGGCACTGAAGTATCAGCAACACCAAGAGTCGCTGTCGGCACAGCTCCAAGGTAAACACGGGGCGGAGAGGTGATCGAATGTTTGTCCACAGCTGACACGACGTTACGTGTCACGCCAGACTCCGTGGATAAAACTGCATTGTCATTATTGTCGAACATGCTGAAACACCCTTACATCTTTTAAAACAAATTGGAGGACTTGATATTACTTTACTTAACAAACTTAAGTTCGGCGTTCATTTAGCACCTTAAAAACCAGACTGGGTTACAAAATGTTTGTATAGACGTGTTTAAGGTTTTAAATTAAAAAATTTTTTTTAAAGTTCCGTCTTCAACATTCCTGGCTTTATTGTAAAGACTGTGTGCTTTACTGGTAATGTTAATAGTCAATTAAATATTTGGATCTTTGGCACACAGCAAAACTGAGAAATTTGATCAATCTGAGATGTAGTTAATGATAAAAGCGTCCTGTAGACAAACGAATCACTATATTAATCAGTAATAACAGTACTCATTAGCTGAGACCCCATGAAAACCAGTTGTAAACTGAAAAGAGGCAGATTTCCCAGAAACATCCTAACTTTCCTGCCACATCTGATCTAGCTGGATTAGAGAAATGATACTTCAGTAAAGCTGCAAGCCGCCAATAAACTGGTGATGGCTCCTGACCTTGTCATGAGATGAGCATATATGCCTTTAAAAAAAATGTTTTAAAAGCATATTTGCCTTTAACGAGAGTTCATTTGTTTTTCCAGAGGTGCAGTCAAAGTGAAATTAGCCCCGTCACTTCCTGCAGCTGTGGTCAACTGAGGCTATTACAACACAAGCGCTGGTTGCAGTCACTGTATTTTAGCTGTATTCCTAGAAGTCTTAGAGCTCATTTTGACTTTGTTTTTCTTTGATGTTTAGCCACCATGGTGCAGGATGTTGTTGCCATGCTGGCATCCTTGACTCTCAGGTAATCGCTGAAACTAAAAAGCATTACGTTGGAGAAAATTCCCAATTGTGCCCCAGTTATTCCAGAGGATCACATCAGATTAGATTTTGCCTTAAACTTGTACGTTCATGAGCAATAAGGAGTAATTTCCCACAGATTGCCGGAACTTCTAAACACTGTAATGAGCTACATAGTGATACTCAAGTTCCTGCTATAAACGTGGCCTTTAAGACAATGCGCTCATCAGCACAGTTTGTTAGCTTACTTGACAGAAATCCATACATTTTCTTGTCATTTCTGATCATTTGATTATCAAAATGTTTCTGGTGCATTTGAGTAAAGAGCAGGGGGAACTCCCAGTCCTCCATATCTTGATACCAGATACAGTATACCTATTATATCTAGATGGTCACAGTATATCGCCACTCTGTTTCTGGTTATACCAGTATTACAGGGGGGTGGATGTATTTCCACAGACCTGAACTGAAGAATGACTAAAGGGATCTTCTTATGTCAGCGAAAGCATCAAAACTTAACACAAAGCAGTTCTCTTTACCTTGAAGACAAAACACCCCCTGGACCATATTCAAATGCATGCAGACTTCTAGAACTGACCGGTGAAAGATTTAGGGCAGCTTCACGGTATGGCAAACCGATGGGTAATAGGGAAAAATGGCTTACTTGTTTATTGTTGGATTAAAGGCTGGATTACATTGTCAGGTTCTGAGTCTGAGCTGAAAGCCTGACACACTTCTTTGCTTCCTGATGTGGGCGCAAACAAACCTTGTTCTGAAAAGCCATGTAGGAGCGGGCTCTTTGCCCATCGGCTAATTTTAAACTCATGGCATAATGGCAAGGCCTGAAACCTCACATCCTGTCAGCACAGCAGCATGTTCACGCACGCTTATATGGAGGAAGCACTCAGGGTACTGCCGAACAAGATTGTTAAAATGTTGTGAAAGTGGGGTGAAGTTCCTGAAGTTGGGCCTTTTAATAAAACCCTTCTGCTGCTAGTAGATTAAGATGCAATGAAGGTCTTTTAATGTGAACGTATTTGTGTGTCTCTATTTACTGGAAAGCAGATATAGTCCATATCTACTGATTTTCAGGACCACACATTGAAGCTTTTACTGCTATTTTTTATGCTTAAGGTGTTTCCAAATAATTGCTGGATTTGTGCTAATAAAGCCGTGCTCTACTGGCAAATCAATTTGCAACAGGAGACTGTTTAGAGGTATAGACCTTGCTAATTCTTCTGTAGTGTCATGACAGTATAGGGTGCTGTATGAGGAATCCACTAAGTTTTTTAACAAGGTATATTTACAAGGCCTAGGCTAAAAGTTCATCGTTGAGAATGCAAAAGCTTAAAAGAAAAAAAAAATTCAGGCAACAGATTACATCACATCCAGTGATGTCATCCATAACAGGGTCCTGCAGTGTACCAGCATACATTATGTAGATTTCAACTTCCTGTAGCTCAGCTGTCTCCTGCTTGTGCGCCACACCCATAACTATCATTGTGAAACAGTGCATCGTTCAGCCAATCACAAAGCCACTTGACAACCACAGCTGACTACAGATTGGTGTTTTTCTGGCCCTATATTTAGAGGTTGGTTATAGCTTGAGGGGTGGGGGCAATGTGAGGGTTGTGAGCCAGGCACATTGATTCCCTGTTATCCACTGCAGCCACAGGCTGGCAGTCATCAGTCATTTAAAGCACTTTAAGTCTTTAACAGGCACTTTGTGGTTATGCGTGCACGCTGACAAATGTGTCACTGTGATTTAACAACCGGCCCTATTTCCAAAGAAGTTGGGATGGCGTGTAAAAGCGTCAGTAGAAACGGAGAGCTGTTATTTACTAATCACCTACATCCTGTATTTAATTGAGAGCAGTGCAAATGGGAGCTCATGAAATATTTAAGATTTAAAATTTAATGTTTGTTTTGATGAGCGCGAGCTTCGATGGCACTGACACGTTTCGAGAAATTGCGTGTTTGTCGCAACACGTCGTCTTTTAACAACACGTGGTGAGCTTTTGGGAGCTGAGAAGCTGCAGTTTTGAAACCAAAATGTTTCAACATTCTTGCTTAACATCTACAGTTTGAGGCCTTGATAGTGACAATGGGTGACATGCAATATTTAGCTCTTTGGCTTTTGATGTTGTAAATTTGCAGCTGATCGAGGGCCTGTATATACTGTGTACACTATTTACTCTGTTTACAAGTAGCTCAAGAACATTAATGTGAACTGTAGATATCAACATATTTTACATCCTTTCAATGTTACCTGTAGACTCAAAAAACAAACTTGATGAAAAAGAAAATCTTGTGGGGAGTAAATATGCAAACATGCCGTGTTTCTTTGACCTAATATCACTTCCTGGATCAGGTCATGTGTCTCACAGTCTTTCTGAGTTCCTGCCCCTGTAAGGCCTGACCTGATTGTAACAAAGAGTGACTTGTAAAATAGGTTACCCGTCAAAGACATTAGTCTTGAAGTGTGCAAAACTTAGTAGCAGACAGTTAGTTCCAGCACACATAAAATATTCAATCAACACTTTTTGGATTCTTGGGACATGCATCTGTGTTGAACTTCACTCCTAAACCTAATTGGTCTGTTGTGTTTGTATGTCTGGTGTGTATGTGTGTATACACAATGGAAGTACGAATGTGAACCAACAAAAACGCCACAGAAAAAAAAATTCCTGGCCCACATTTCCTTTTCAACACCCTGAGCCAAATCTAACTGATCTTATCCTCGCCACATCTAAACCAGTAGGTCAATAAATGTCACCACCATAGAGGGCCCCCTTGTTCTTATCTGCGCTCAAACCACACTGTGTTTCATCGGTCTGATGGGGAGATGCCCCGATCTGATGTTTGGATCAAATATCGGATTGATCGTAACTCAAAAAGCTGTATCTGTGACAGTGGCCTGAACTGTGAGGTCGGTGAATTCAGTTCTGAGTTTACTACGCCACGTGCCACCAACACTGCCAACAGCAGAGCTAATGTAGCATGGAGACAGCTAACAACAAAAGAGTCAACAGTCTGTGGCCATTTCACACTTGTAGCACACACCAGCAGCTCTTTGTATGTTTGCGTTATTGGCCCTCCTCCTGTAGCTGCTCTCTCTTTGCTGTAAGCCTGTTGCATGTATATATGTACATGCTAAGTGAAAGGCCCACGATAGCAGTGAAGTCTGTAGATGCTAAGCAGAGCTTTGCAGACTCACCTCTACATGTTGTAACTGTGCGCTACAACCACTTAGAATATTAAAAAATGTGGAACAGCCAGTTATGTGGCCTGCTCTGGTTTTTATTTGTGCTGTTGCTTATTCTTTAGCTTCCCCCCCGTGGCAGAGAAGACAGAAGTCATATTATACAAAGAAGTTCTTTGTAGTGGATCCAGGTTTTCAAAAGCAATGAAAACTCTCCATTGTGCTGTCTTTGCTTTCCTTGTATGCTTTTATGACATTTGGTTTTTGACTTTTGACAGCTGAAGTTGTTTTTTGTGTGTTTATATTCTGGACCTACAGCACTATTTGTTTTTAGGTGGCTAAGGTTCAGGCCTATGTGATACTCATTGCTTCTTTGAATGTAAATTCATCTGCACATTGCTCGATCACTCTTCTATTACAGTACATAATATTCTGCCAGTAGATATAAGGCACTTTTCATGCCCCTGACAGTACGTGTAGTGAGTCTGTTTTGAAATCTTTTCTCTGTACCGTGTTTCAGTACAGTTAGCAATTGTTTGAGATCTATTAGCTCTGAGTTGACCACAAACAATTTAGTTTCTCTCGTGATGGGAAACCAAGTATAAATGCAAACCACAACATCACCCATTATGGCCTGAGCTCTACAGGGAATCAGTACAGTGCTATAAATTAAGCTTTAGACTCCAGTTGTTTGTCGCTCTAGCCCAGCCCAGTTGGCCCACAGAGAGAGTGTAGCCTAGCTGAGCTCATCTAAGAAAAACATAGCCTCATCTTTGGCACTGCTGAGGAGGTTCAACGCCTCAGAGGAGCAAAATAAAATGCAATCTGGTGAGGTTTTAGACAACCACCTGATCAGGCGTTGATGAAAGAAACTTCGGGAAAGTTAGTTCACTTC